GTCTGTACTAGTTGATAGCCTGCTCACTTTTTGGGAATATGATCTTGATGTGTGTCTAAGAATTGTTTTTATTATCCAATATGTACTATTTTTATTAGGATATGCTATTTTTGAGATGTTAGTAACCTTTGGTTAGAACTTAGAATATGTTAATTGGTTGTGTTGTATTATTTTAGTTTTTCTTTAGAGATGTGGATGAATGGCTTTTGATTAAATTTACTATTTATTGACGTTGAATAGTTTTTTTTTTTTTTGNAACTTAATTTGAGAAATGTACTATTGAGTGATGGTCTTATTTTCATGTATGTTGTTGTGTTCATATTCTGAATTTAACTTGTACAAGAGCAATATAGTTGTTTCTAATGCAAATAAAAGTCATTTGGAATTGTACTTGGATGAGCCTTTGGTTGACACATTAAAAAATATTGTGGTACTTTCTTATTAGAATGCTCACCAGTTTCAGTATCCAGAACTTGCTATTATGGCTCGTGATGTGTTGACCATTCCAATTTCTATTATTGCTTCAGAGTCAGCATTTAGCACTGGTGGTTGTGTTCTTGACCAATATCGTAGTGCTTTAAACCTCAAGTTGTAGAGGCTTTAATATGCACTAAAGATTGGTTGTTTGAAGAAGAGGAAAATACATAAATTGCTTTATTAGTTTGATTGAAAAGAACATTCTTATGTCTATATTTATTTTGTTTCGCCATTTAGAAGGTGCTAAATTTGAATTGGAGACTGAAGATATTATGAATGTAAACATAAATTGGCCCAACACTATGGAAAGTTTGAACGTGGTAATTAATGAAGCATGACCAGACTTCTAAGTTTGTTGAAATGAGCCTCAATATTGTTATTACTTTTTGGTTCATCAGTGACTCTAACTCTAACTCATAACATCCAATTTTCTAGGAGATGAAGCAGTATGAGTTGTGAGACTCTTTGTATTGTGACTTTAAAGGATTCTCTACTAGTGGCTGCTGAAGAAAGTCTGTACTAGTTGATAGCCTGCTCACTTTTTGGGAATATGATCTTGATGTGTGTCTAAGAATTGTTTTTATTATCCAATATGTACTATTTTTATTAGGATATGCTATTTTTGAGATGTTAGTAACCTTTGGTTAGAACTTAGAATATGTTAATTGGTTGTGTTGTATTATTTTAGTTTTTCTTTAGAGATGTGGATGAATGGCTTTTGATTAAATTTACTATTTATTGACGTTGAATAGTTTTTTTTTTTTTTGGATTCTGACTCTATAATGTATGTAAAAAGGTCATGGTTTGGTTAACGGGTTAGTTAACAGGTCAAACGGGTTAAGTGACATGAACACGACTTGAACAGTTATCATGTCGTAGTAGGTTGTGTTCAGGTTACATGGGTTACATGGGGTATAAGCGTGGTGGGTTCATGTTGAATTTTGTGACACGATTATTTTAATAGGTCATGTTTAGTTGAGGGTTTTTTGACACGACCCGAAAATGACACTACACGACTCTATTGCTACCCTAACCTCAAGATTACCAACCATCAAAAGTATTAATAAACTTTACTAATTACAATGCTTCACAAGTTAAAGGAAACATAGAAGACTCTACGACCACCTAGACTCAGCAGTGGACTCTTCTCGTATACTTGATTTACTTGGACACATATAAACAACGGAATGTGAGCATCAAAAGCTTAGTGAATGCTTGTACACAAGCAATAAGAAGTGAGATCATGATTATAATAAAATTTGTGTCATCTCACACATAAAATAGGTGAATATATTGTAAATATTGTTGCCTTTGCACATACATCGGCTAGAACCACTATTGCTTGTCATTATGATTATACTTGCTTACCTACCGCCAAAGTAATAACATACCCGCCACTCAGGCAATAAGTGCCTTATAGACAATAACCACCACACAGGCTATAATCTATCACACAGACAACATACACCACACAGACATTATCTGCCATATAGGCCATAAACTATCACACCAATAACCTTGTCCTTCAAACGACCCGAGCCACATCAATAATTCTCGTTCTCGTCACTTAGATGACTCAACAACATAGCTAAATCCTGTCACGTAGATGCCTATCATTTAGATGGCTCGAATCACATGGCTAATTCCCGACACGTAGACTACTCGAATTACATATTTAATTCCTGTCACATAGACACCATCATTTAGATGACTCACAATCACCTAATATTCTCTGTCACGTGGATGACTCGAATTACATATTTAATCCCTGTCACATCACGTAGGTGACTCGAATCTTGTAATTACTTCCTGCCACATAGACAACTTGTATCGTACCATTAATTCTCGTCACGTAAACACAAAAAATCACATAATTATTTTTTTGTCCTGTTGTATAGATGGATTACATTCACAAGTAAATTCACCGTAAACACAATCAACTCGAATAGTATTGATCTGACCTGATTTATGTCATACACACAAGTATAAGTGGTCAAATTGCAGTATTTCTTGATTTAAGTATGAGGTTGACAAATAATTGTTGGGATTCAAAAAAGAAACGGTGAAATTGTCGTGGATGTAGTGTGTAATGGAATAGGTTATGGTGTGAGCTTAGAACTATCAAATAAAATACACAATTAAAGTGTTGAAAGACAATAATGAAAAGGGGTACTCTTCAGTTTGAGGATCCCACATGCATTATATTGTTTAAGTATCAAAAATGTCACCTTACAACAATTAACTTTCATTTTATTGGAAAGTCATCCAATAGGTTTGATGTAAATTGAACCATAACACAACAACTGATTAGGTTAGCCAAAAGATCTTTGTACCATGCATCAGTTAAATAACCCTAGTAAACTAGAAGGCAAGTCATTCATGAGGTTTACTTGAGTCATTCAACCGGCAGGTTGATGATTCATTAATGATGGCGTTCCGGTTTATGCATTGAATCAAAAGAATTAGCTAGACAAGACTTAACCCATCTATAACCAATCTCCTGACTTTACATAAATCCCAACTACGTACATCACTGTATCATGCATGAAGTACGTAATAATTATATTTACTATAGTATATAGCATTAAGTACCGTTCAATATTCATAACCATGAACATATTATAAATATAACCATTTATCAGTTAAGGGAGGTAAAAACATTAATGTATAAATAAAACATTAGCATTTCCATAATTAAACAATAGTACACATGTGTTCACCCTTCACCAAAGAGTATAAACAAACTACTCACACCTCATTGCTATAGACGAGCAAAGGGTGTGATATAATCCCATTACAAATGAAACAAAATACAAATCAAATCCTTTCTCGATGAATAGCTGAAGCACTGCCACTCTTATTACCAGTTAGGGTACAAAAATGGGAGAGGTTCAACCCTTCAAGTAAAAAGGATAAATAGAAATGTACAAGTAGAGAGATTTTGGCTGGAAAGTGGTTTGGCAGGGCCTCGCTTCTCAGTTTCTCTCTTCATTTCTTTCCTCACTTTCTGGACTGAGCTCTGGGTGAACCTTTTGAAACTAAAGGTAAGGCGGCCTATTTATAGGCACAAGAGGGATGGCTTGAGGGGGCAGACACTTGGCTAGCTAATCAAGTGATTTGTTGCTTCACTAGACCAATGGGAGGAGGAGAGAGAGTTAAGTCTATTTAGCTACCGTTCGGATGCCACCACCACCGTTCGGATGGTGGTAAACCTTTGGATTTTGCATGCTGGCTTCCTCCTTGCTTTGATGTATTAATGTTGTAATTACACTTGCCTCCCCTCCGCATTAAACCTAATTTATCGTAACTTAGTTATTTTAACCCATTTCACACACACAACTTACTTTAAAACCTAATTCATTAACACATTATTTAGGGTTAATCACACCCCCCAACCAAAAATTACTAGTCCCTAGTAATAAAACAAATAACCCAAAACAAAATCACTTTTGTAGATTCCATAATTACATTTGACGTATGCAACAAGCCATTAAACCTCTAGGTGATCCCTAGTGGATGAATTTTGTCTCATAAAGGTTTCTAGTGAATATACCTACAAACTTCAATGGTTAGGATTTCATAATTCATATATTTCACTAATAAAATTAAATCACCTTTCCTTTTTGTTGGTAGGATACTTTATTTCCCTCTTCACTATAAGAGTAACACACATTAGTTATAATAATATTTCGTATATTTTCAAAAAAACTCGTGTGTGTGCGATAACTCCTTTATTCTGAAAATCATTTAGAAAATATCACCTCCTTCACTTTGCTATGCAAGAATTAGCCTTGATGTCAATCATTTCCTGAAATCACTCAGCAAAGAATACACACACGTTATAGTGATTATTCAATCAGGAATTACACGTGATAAGAATATTGTTGACAAAAAAAAGTAATTTCACATGTATTGTATAAAAAAAAGGTTATTTGAATAAAACTGAAATATGACATAATCTCATAAAAGAATATTAACACTGCATCAAACACATTATCAACACTCTCCCTTTCTTGAATAGGTGAAAATAATACACATGCATGACTTCTGGAATAAAAAATGACTTTATTAAGGTTATAACGTAGCCATGGGTTTTGCGGTTAAGATGGGTTTAGGGTTTAGGGTTTCGAGGTTAGGGGTTTAGGGTTTAGGGTTTAGGGTTTAGGGTTTAGGGTTTTAATATTTTAGGGTTTTTGGGATTAGGGGGTTAGGGTTTAGGGTTTAGGATTTAAATAGGGTTTAGGGGGACACTTTTTCATGTCTAGAGAGAGAAGCTCCTCTTTCTCTCTAGAATTTATCTCTGTTTTGCATTTTTTCTTATTTTCTCGGACTGATCTGTTCTTTATTTATGGCTTCTGTTCATAACCATAGCCACATTCCACCTAAGCCACCCGATTTATCAAAGAATCCCACTTTAGCCGCAAAACATCCCTCATTTTCATTAACCCCACTAAAATCGGTACAGTTTACCGACTTACACACTAATGAGGTAAATTCCTCTGGTTCGGTGCAGGTCATCGCGCATGCCCCTATTTTGCCCTCTGCAGCTCATTCAGTTCATCCTATCTCTACCAGTACCTACCATTTACCACCCCCATCAAACCTGGCGGACTAGGTACAAGTTACCGAGCATAGTCAAAAAGGGGCAAAAGATCCAGAACCGCTACAAAATGTCAATCAACCCTCAGGTAAACCATCTGTGATCTCGGGTATCCATCCTAACCCAAAAATTACAAAAACTTTGCTTTGCTTTTTAAGAAACCCACTGGTTCCTTACTCCCCTTAAGCTCTTCGCTCCTCTCGAGCTCTGTACCTCCTTCGACTTCGATAATTACTTCAATTCCACTGGATCCATCAAAATTAATTGAGGGCTTACCATCCCCTGTTCTTTCAGCTGCTCACTCTAGGCCAGCAAAACGCGTGGTGTACAATAATGGAGAGCCAAGGATGTATTGGTCCTCCGAAGAAATGCAAGAACTATCAAATAGGTTTCACCAGACTTTAATAGGTAAATGTGCATATGGCAAACCTTCAATTGGAGTTATTAGGGAATTCATTACGACTAGATGGCTTCCAAAGGGAAATTTTACAGTGGGAATTTTGGATCCGAGACACGTTCTGATAAGCTTTGAAGTCCATGAGGACTACGTGTAGACTTGGTTAAACGATGCCACATATATAGAGGGTTTCTTGTTCAGGTTCTTCAAATGGTTTCCAGAATTCATGCCAGGAATCGAGCCCCTAGTGGTCCCCATTTGGATTTCACTCCCAGGTTTGTCAATCCATCTTTTTGATAAAGAGAGTCTTCGTGATATTTTGAGCCCCATAGGGAAGATACTAGTAATCGATTCACCAACTCTGCAATTATCAAGACTAGGGGTGGCCAGGGTGTGCGTTGAAGTCAATTTATTAGCGGACAACCCTCCACGATTTTGGCTGTACTTTGGTGGATCTAGTGGATGTTGGCAGAAGATTATTTATGAAAAAATAGTGAAGTACTGTGCTGGATGTTTGAAGCAAGGGCATGTGATGCTAGATTTCCGTAAAGGAACAAAGGAAGAAGAAGACAGAATGGGGAAGAAGACTAATAGCCCAAACGAGGAAGAAAAGCAGAAAGCTGGGATTTTGAAAAAAGGCGAAGACCTAAAGGGGAAAACAAAAGAATGACAGAAAGTTACCAAAAAAGGGGGTCCTAAAGCAACCGTAATAGAGGGTCTCCAAGTACCGAACAATTCCACGAAACCAAAAGACTTATTTGTAGAAGGAGAGAATGCTGCTAATAAATTCGAGGTGCTAAGAGGGGAACATTAGGGCAGGGAAGTCGAAGAGGAGCAAAGTGCTGCAAAGGAGAACAATATTGGCTCTCCAATAATTGCAAATAACATAGCAATAGGAATAGAATCTAAAGAAAAAGAAACTCAAGTTGTCCCAACAATTGAAGAGAAGGGAACTCAGGGAGTTGATGTGGAAAATGATGCGTCATCAACTGTTGGCATTCCAACACGGGGCTTCGAGGGAATGATGGACTGCGTGCATATTGATCCTCCCTCCCAATCTCAGGGGGTTGGGTCTGAGGAGGTGCAGCATACGGTTGGAACAACAATGTGCTTATTGAATAAACAATCTTTTTCCTCTACATCTTCCTCTTTCCTGGTAGAGCATTCATATGAACCTAGAGGAAATCAAATCTGCACAGTGGACGATGAAAGTGGGCTGATAAGGGATAAAGAGCCACTAGACAAGGGCTTTTATTCTGACCAAGATAGTTTAGAGATCTGGGCTAATTTAAGTGAGGCTGCTAATGATGATGAAGCTCAAGGAATGATCCTGCTTAACCAAGTTATTAATACCATTTCAGAATTCAGTACTGGGTGCTTCCCCAGAGGTAATGTTGCTAACACCTCCTTATGATGAATTTCATTATGTGGAATGTAAGGGGAGCTGGGAAAGACAACTTGAGAAGCAGATTAAAGAAATTGATAGTGATGAACAAGGTTAGTCTACCGGCTGTCATTGAGCCAAAGATGTCTAAAACGAAATTGAAAAACTTTGGTCTTGCTATTGGGTTAAAGTATTTCATGGCAAACCCAATGGCTGAGAAAAACATGTGGCTTTTATGGAATGACAACTTGAAAGTACACAGTATGCTGAATTTCGAGCAAGCAATGACTGTATCTGCTTCCTACCAAGGAGTTGATCCTGTTTTAGTTACGGTGGTGTACGGATGTTGTGATTATTTATTAAGAAGACCCTTGTGGGAGCATTTAAAACTTATTTCAGCTTCCCTCACTATGCCTTGGTTGGTTATGAGGGACTTTAATATTGTGATGAGATCAAATGAAAGATTGGGTGGCGCCCCCCCTTCTGTGCTAGCTATAATTTGGGAACTGCATTCAATCGGAGGGTCTCATTGATTGTGGTTACGAAGGTAATAATTTCACATGGTGTAATGGCCATCACAGAAGGTTTAGAATGTGGCAAAGGATTGATAGAATGTTTACCAACACAGCCTAGACTGCCAAGTTTCAGAACTCCCAAGGTTATGCATTTGGCGCGTGGGAGCTCTGATCACTGCCCACTGTTGATTAAGATTACGGAAAATGATGGCCAACAAAGGATCTCTTATTTCAAATTTTTTGACATGCGGGCTGAGGATCCTTTCTTTTTACCTTTGGTTGCAAGCAATTGGAGTGGAAGTTATGCAAGGAACCCAATAGAAAATCTTTTTCTCAAACTAAAAATGCTAAAGCTCAAAATCAAAAAGTGGAACAAAGAGATCTTTGGGAACATTTTTGAAAAAATTAGCAAGCAGGAATTGGCATTGAGAGAGGCAGAAAGATATGTGGATGCTAACTACTCTGTTGGTACTGTATCTAACCTTGAAGCTGCAAGAAAGAATTTAGAGGACACCCTAAGGTTGGAGGAAATGTATTGGAGACAAAAAGCTAATGTTAAATGGGCAATGAAAGGAGAGAGAAATACCAAATTTTTTCATGCGTTGGCCAAGGGCAAGGCTGTGAGGAATAGACTGTTGAGAATTAAAGGTGAAGATGGGGAATGGTGTGAATCTGAAGAGGAAATAGCTCAGGTAGTCGTCTCTTTTTTTGCTAAACTATACAAGTCAGAGGATCATGGGCTTGATGATGAGTTGTTTGGGGTTATTCCTAAGCTAGTCGACCCAATTGATAATGCGAATTTGACTATGGATGCTACTTTACCAGAACTTAAACTGGTTGTCTTCTCTATGTCTGTGGAAAACGCCCTTGGAGCTGATGGTTTTTTTGGTAGATTCTTCCAAGTTGCATGGGATACTATTAAAAATGACCTGTTGGAGGCGATTAATTTTTTCTTGGGTGGGGGAGAGGTCCCAAGGTCAGTGAACTCTACACTTCTTGTTTTAATCCCTAAAGTGGTAAAGCCCAACTCTTTCACAGAGTTTAGGCCAATAAGCCTATGTAATTTTTTGTGCAAAGTTTTTACTAAGGTCCTTTCCAACGGACTTACTATTCTCCTTCCTTCTCTAATCTCTAATGCACAACATGGTTTTGTCAAAGGGAGAGGGATTGGGGATTGTATCTCATTAGCCCAACTAATGGTTGGTGAACTTGATAGAAAGGTGGAGGCCAACAATGCGATTCTAAAATTGGATAGATGAAGGCTTACGACTGCATTAAGTGGGATTTTTTAGAAAAAACTTTGGAATGTTTTGGCTTTTCAAGCCTTTTTATCTCCATAGTTGGTAATTGCTTGAAGAATCAATTTTTTTTCGGTTTGCTTGAATGGGAAAAGATTTGGATTCTTTCCTTCATCTAGGGGATTGAGACAAGGTGACCCGATTTCCCCAGCTCTTTTTATCTTGGCAGAGGAAGTGTTAAGCAGGGGTTTAACGAAGCTCTATGGCAAGGGTAGGGTCAAAGCCTTTCATGCAAGAAGGGGCTCTCTTCTTATCTCTCATCTCCTTTTTGCAGATGATACCCTGTTATTTCTCAAAGGAAATAAACTCTCCTTGGAACGCCTGATGAGTTTCTTGGCTAGGTATGAAAATAGCTCTGGACAGAGAATTAGTAAGCAAAAAAGTTCTTTAATATGCTCCTCCAATATTCCCCAGGGCAGGAAAATGGTACTATCCAGGATCGCTCAAATACTGATTAAAAAGTGCCCTTTCAACTACCTGGGTTGTCCAATGATTAAAGGAAGATATAAATTACGGGATTTTGAGGAAGTGATCCAAAAGTTTAAAGCAAAACTCGAAGGGTGGTTTGCATGCCTACTCTCAAATATGGGTTGGGTTGTGCTTATTCAATTAATCCTCAATGCGGTTCCTATCCACTTGCTTTCTTGTATAAGTGTTCCCAAAGGCACTCTTGTAAAGCTGAAATCCTTGATGGCCTCTTTCATGTGGTCAGGTAGGATGGGAGAGAGGAAAAGACAATGGGTCTCATGGTCGGATATTTCAAGACCTAAGCACGAGGGGGGTCTTGGCATACGAAAATTTGAAGATATTCAAACTGCATTCCGTTGGAAGCAGGTGTGGGGGATTCTTAAGGGTGACTCTCTTTGGGCGAACATGTTTAAAGCAAAATTCTTAAATGGCAAACACATGCTGAGGTGCCTTGGTACTGGTAAAGCTTGTATTCTCCGTATGTTGCAACCTTTTTTCAGCTTAGTCCTAGACAACTCTCAAGTTATGGTGGGGAATGGAAGGAATGTGGATTTTTGGTGATCGAATTGGACTGGTGTTGGTCCATTACTGCTTAGGCTTGGTGTCTATCCCTTGTGCTTTCCATGTCTGGATGCGGTATGGGCTGGAGGGGACTGGCAATGACATTTGTTGGGGGTCTAGATCCCAGTCCATTTAAAGCAAGAAATCCAAAACTTTGGGATTGCCTTATGTGAAAAAGAAGATCGTATTATATGGAAATTAATAGACTCGGGAGAGTTCAATGTTAAATCCGCTTGGCAGGCTATTAGAATTTCAAATAACCCTATGCCTGTGCCCTCGGAGATCTGGAACCAATCTGTCTTCCCAAGTGCTAAACTGCTGGGATGGAAGATACATATGAATGATGTGGTGGTGGACTCTAACTTCCAACGAATTGGTGTGGAATTGGCCAGCAAATGCCCCATGTGTTATGTGGATGTGGAATCTACAACTCACCTCTTTATTCAATGTGGCTATGCTAAAGATGTCTGGGGAAGAATTGCTACATTGGGCGGATTTCAGATTTTCTCGGCTGAATCACCTATGGTTCGTATGATGAGGCTGATCAGAATTTTTAATAAAAACTCTGTTAGCCATAACTTGTTAAGAGGTGTCTCACTGGTGGTTTTTTAGAGGTTATGGAGGGAGAGATGCAGAAGAGTATATGAAAATCACTCTTTATCTGCTCATTCTGTGTTCTTGGATATTTGCTCTGTTTTGCGTCTACAGGCACATGGTGTTCACTCCAAGGCAAAGGAAGGTATAATGGGGATGGAGTTTCTGCGGGCTCTAAAGGTGGAATTGAAGCATGAACTCAAACCAAAGGTTATTTGGGTTAACTAAACTCTCCCTCATCCTGGTTTTTTAAAGCTTAATGTGGATGGGGCGTCAAAAGGTAATCCAGGACGTGCGGGGGGTGGTGCTGTGGTTAGAAATGAATGGGGGCATTTAGTGTTGGCTGCCTCCTTTTTCTACGAGGTATGTTCCAACATGGAGGCAGAACTTCGTGCCTTCAAGGATGGTATTGTGTTATTTAGAAGTTATGGGCTGCTTGACTATGGCCTCATGATTGAAACTGATTCGGCTTTGTTGGTCCAAATGGTAATGAAAGGACATATGAGGGCCTAGAAATTTTGGGGGATTTGTGAGGATATTTTGGGTCCGTTAGAGGGCTTGAAGTTCTATCTGGCTCATGTGTACAGGGAAGCGAATTCCTTGGCTGACTACCTTGCTAACCTCGCTGTTACGCAGGGTGCATCTTCAAATTTTTCACAAGATTTAAATCTCCCTCTTCATGCCAAGCTAATTTTGATGCAGGATCATCAAGGCATTAAAAACACAAGAAAAAAAATGGGGCCCTCCTTAATTCTTGTTGCTTTTGTTTATGGGCTCACTTTTCTGTTGCGTGGCTGCCTTAGGGGTGCACTGTTCACGTGCTGCTATTGGTCTTCATTTGGTTTATGATGGGTTGCTGCGGGTTCTCTGTTGGTTTTTATGTCTTCTTAGATGTTTTCCAAGGTCCATTACTGCTGGTCTTCTACAGGTCTTCAACTGCTTTTAGCTGGTTTCTATTTTTTTTTTGGGTATCCTGCAGGTGGTTCTGTCCAGCTGGTTTTAGCTGCTTTTCCAGCTGGTCTTTATAGGCTTTCAATTGGTTTTTTAGCTGGAATTTAGTTGCTCTTCCAGCTGAATTTTCAGCTGCTTCATTCTCATTTGTTGTGGATGTTGGAATGTTTGCGGGTTCCCCTGCTGGTCTTTTGCGGGTTGTTTCTTTTAGCTGGTCCTGTTCCTCAACGTTTGTGGCAGTGCTGTCTTCTTCTCTTGTTCCATCTGGGGGCTGATGTGTAGTGGCCTGCCCTTTTTTGGTCAGCGGTTGGGCTTTTCACCCGGGCTTTTGCTGGTTTTTCCCTACTTCAGCTAGTTTCTTGCCTGGTTTTTTTTAGTGGTTCTCAACTGCATTTCAGCTGTTTTCTCTGCTGGTTTTGTGCGTTTTCCAGCTGGTAACCAAGGCTCATTTTGTTGCTTCTGTTGGGGATGCTGGAGATGGTTTTTCTCAGCTGGCTTGGGTTGCATTGCCCCTGCTCTGACATTCCCTTTTGCAATCATTGAAGGTTTTTAACGGTTCTGCATAGCGGGTTTTTAGCTGGATTATCAGCTGGTTTCAATGGGTTTCTAGCTGGTTCTTCATGCCTTTGTTGTTTTTTGTTGCTGGCCTTTTGGGATCTCATTGCTTTGGTTATAGCTTGTTACTGCGCTGCACTATTTCTTTTTAGCTGTGGGAAGCATGTGTTTTTTATTGGTTGTTCATTTGGTCCTTTGCGCCCTTGGCCTTTGTTGATGTTTCTTTGCCTTTTATTTTGAAGGGTTAAAGCCACCTACGACTTTTCCTCTTGTATTATAGTCCTGTTCCTTTGCTTCAGGTAATTTTGGTTGTCATCAATATATTTGCCTTTTATAAAAAAAAAAAAATAGGGTTAAGGGTTTAGGGGTTTAGGGTTTTATGTTTTAGGGTTTAGGGTTTAGGGTTTAGGGTTTTAGGGTTTAGGGTTTTAGGGTTTGGGGTTTAGGGTTTAGGGTTTAGGGTTTAGGGTTTAGGGTTTAGGGTTTAGGGTTTAGGGTTTAGGGTTTAGGGTTTCGGGTTTAGGGTTTAGGGTTTAGGGTTTAAGGATCCTTTGGGATGTAATAACACCATTCCTATGCCTCTTATACCTCAATCGAATGTTGACAAGCCGACTGTTCAGATTTTTCCTTCGACTGTGTCGATTGTGGCATCTTCGTCTGAGTTAGGAATTCAGGTTCCTTTTGATTCCTTAATTGTTCAAAATACTCAAGGTATTAACCTACAAGCGAAATCCTCTTTGAATTCCGAATCCATTTTGAACTTGAAAGATCCTTTGATGGATCGAACTTCCTCAAACATCCAGATCTCTGTTCCTGAGAAAGGAATTCAGATTCCAGCTATTACTTCGAATGTTCAAAATCCTTCTGGTAATCCTATTTATTCTTCTAGAATTCTATTTGGATCCTTGAATTCTTTAAATTCTCCTAAACCTGCAAAGAGAGTTGTCTTTAATAAAGGAGTACCTGGGATGTATTGGTCCCCTGTTGAGACTATGGAGCTAGCGAAAGGTTTTAGTTAGACACTTATCGGTAAATGTGCTTATGGTAGGCCTTCATTAGGAGTGGTGAAAGAATTTATTAATTCTAGGTGGCTATTGAAAGGGGAATTTTCTGTAGGAGTGTTAGACCCGAGGCATGTTCTGATCATATTTTCGTTTTATGAAGATTATGTCAAAGTATGGTTGAAGGATACCACCTACATTGAAGGCTATCTGTTTAGGTTTTTCAAGTGGTTCCTAGAATTTTATCCTGGGATTGAACCACCTGTTGTACCTGTATGAGTATCCTTACTTGGCCTGCCAATCCATTTATTCAATAGGGAAAGTCTGAGAGATATTTTGAGTCCAATTGGCAAAATTCTGGTGATAGATAATGCCACTCTGAATCTTTCTAGGCCTGGTGTGGCCAGGGCCTGTGTTGAAATGAATCTTCTAGTCAGTAATCCTAAAAGATTCTGGCTAGATATGGGAGGAGTGAGTGGCAGATGACAGAGGATAGTGTATGAGAAAGATTATAAATATTGTCCTGCTTGCCTTAAGCAGGGGCATGAAGAAGAATTGTGTAGACGAAAGAAGAAAGTGGAAGGTGATACTTTTGAAAAGAAGCAACTCAAGAGGATAATGAGAAGCTGACTGCTGAAGCTACTTTGGAGGNAAGGATCCTTTGGGATGTAATAACACCATTCCTATGCCTCTTATACCTCAATCGAATGTTGACAAGCCGACTGTTCAGATTTTTCCTTCGACTGTGTCGATTGTGGCATCTTCGTCTGAGTTAGGAATTCAGGTTCCTTTTGATTCCTTAATTGTTCAAAATACTCAAGGTATTAACCTACAAGCGAAATCCTCTTTGAATTCCGAATCCATTTTGAACTTGAAAGATCCTTTGATGGATCGAACTTCCTCAAACATCCAGATCTCTGTTCCTGAGAAAGGAATTCAGATTCCAGCTATTACTTCGAATGTTCAAAATCCTTCTGGTAATCCTATTTATTCTTCTAGAATTCTATTTGGATCCTTGAATTCTTTAAATTCTCCTAAACCTGCAAAGAGAGTTGTCTTTAATAAAGGAGTACCTGGGATGTATTGGTCCCCTGTTGAGACTATGGAGCTAGCGAAAGGTTTTAGTTAGACACTTATCGGTAAATGTGCTTATGGTAGGCCTTCATTAGGAGTGGTGAAAGAATTTATTAATTCTAGGTGGCTATTGAAAGGGGAATTTTCTGTAGGAGTGTTAGACCCGAGGCATGTTCTGATCATATTTTCGTTTTATGAAGATTATGTCAAAGTATGGTTGAAGGATACCACCTACATTGAAGGCTATCTGTTTAGGTTTTTCAAGTGGTTCCTAGAATTTTATCCTGGGATTGAACCACCTGTTGTACCTGTATGAGTATCCTTACTTGGCCTGCCAATCCATTTATTCAATAGGGAAAGTCTGAGAGATATTTTGAGTCCAATTGGCAAAATTCTGGTGATAGATAATGCCACTCTGAATCTTTCTAGGCCTGGTGTGGCCAGGGCCTGTGTTGAAATGAATCTTCTAGTCAGTAATCCTAAAAGATTCTGGCTAGATATGGGAGGAGTGAGTGGCAGATGACAGAGGATAGTGTATGAGAAAGATTATAAATATTGTCCTGCTTGCCTTAAGCAGGGGCATGAAGAAGAATTGTGTAGACGAAAGAAGAAAGTGGAAGGTGATACTTTTGAAAAGAAGCAACTCAAGAGGATAATGAGAAGCTGACTGCTGAAGCTACTTTGGAGGAATTGAAAGATGTTGTTTTTTCAATGGCTACTGAGAGTGCTCCAGGGCCAGATGGTATGTCTGGTAAGTTTTTTCAGGTTGCTTGGGAGATTATTAAAGTAGATGTGGGTAGAGCTATTAATTTTCTGCTTAAAGGAGGTTTAATTCCCAAATTTGTGAACTCTACTTTGTTAGTGTTGATTCCTAAGAAGATGGATCCGAGTTCCTTTTCTGATTTCAGACCCATAAGCTTATGTAACTTCTTATACAAGATTTTTACAAAGATGCTTAACACTAGACTGTCTCCTCTGCTTCCTGGTTTAATCTCTGAAGAACAACATGGTTTTGTTAAAGGGAGAGGGATTGGGGATTGTGTGGCATTGGGACAACTTCTTGTTGGTGAATTAGACAGGAAGGTTGAGGGTGGAAACATGGTTATGAAGCTGGATATGATGAAAGCATATGACAGAATGGAATGAGATTTTTTGATGAAGGTATTGTCTAGCTTTGGTTTTTCTGACTTGTTCACCCAGATTATTTTGAATTGCTTGAATAGTCAATTTTTCATTATATGCTTAAATGGACAAAGATATGGCTATTTTGCTAACTCAAGAGGGCTAAGACAAGGAGACCCTCTTTCTCCTACCTTGTTCATTTTGGCTGAAGAGGTGATGAGTAGAGGCCTGAGGAACATTTATGATCAGAATCTGGTTAAACATTTTCATATTGGGAGAGGAACAATAGTTGTTAGTCACTTGTTATTTGCTGATGATACTTTCATATTTCTAAGGGGTAACAAAAGTTCTGTTTTGAATGTACTGAAGTTTATTGAGCTGTATGAGTCAAGCTTTGGTCAGAGATGTAGATTTACCTTTTTATCCTTGTATAGTTTTTTGACAAATGTTGCTACAGTCATTGTTTTATTTTAAAAAAAGTGACTGGTTTGCTTCTTGTAATTTTGCACTCAATAAACAAAATTTCTATTTTCACCAAAAAAAAAAAAATAGGGTTTAGGGTTTAGGGTTTAGGGTGTAGGGTGTAGGGTGTAGGGTTTAGGGTGTAGGGTTTAGGGTTTAGGATTTCAAGTTTTAGAGTTTAGGGTTTGGGATTTCGGGTTTCAGGTTTAGGGTTTAGGGTTTAGGGTTTAGGGTTTAGGGTTTAGGGTTTAGGGTTTAGGGTTTTAGGGTTTAGGGTTTAGGGTTTAGGGTTTAGGGTTTAGGGTTTAGGGTTTAGGGTTTAGGGTTTAGGGTTTAGGGTTTAGGGTTTAGGGTTTACGGTTTAGGGTTTAGGGTTTACGGTTTAGGGTTTAGGGTTTAGGGTTTAGGGTTTAGGGTTTAGGGTTTAGGGTTTAGGGTTTAGGGTTTAGGGTTTCGGGTTTCGGGATTCGGGATTCGGGTTTCGGGTTTCGGGTTTCGGGTTTAGGGTTTAGGGTTTAGGGTTTAGGGTTTAGGGTTTTGGGTTTAGGGGTTAGGGTTTAGGGTTTAGGGTTTAGGGTTTAGGGTTTAGGGTTTAGAGATGGTTTAGGAGGAGGCGGTTATTTCTTTTTAGAGAGAGAAGGTCTGACTTCTCTCTAGAATTGTCTCTTTCTTTTTCAGATCTTCTCCATTTCTAGCTGAATTTTCATTATTGTTTGTGATTTTATTGAAATTCCTACTGTTTTGATTGTCATAGCATGAAATCTGGCCATGAAATTCATCAGATTCCCCCAAAACCGCCTGACATTACCAAAAATTTCACCTCCTTGTTCAAGAAAACTACATCTGTAGAAAACTACATCTGTAGAAAACTTTCTAACAATTCCTGCTGCTTCAGAGATCAATTCCTTAACACTTGTTGATCTTTTGGGATGTAATAACACCGTAACTATGCCTCTCGTAACTCAGCTGAATCGAAATTCACCGACTGTTCAAATTGCCTCTGTTCTCCCTTCGGCTGTGTTATCTTCAACAAATAATCAATGCTCGTCATCTGGATTAGGAATGCACATTCCTGCTGATTCTTCGAATGTTCGAAATGCTCAAGGAGTTAATCTGCATTCCCATTCTGTTTTGATTCCTCCACCTAATTCATCTCCTCAAGATCCTTCGACTGACCGACTTCTGCCAAAAACTCAGATCCAGATTCCTGGAAGAGATTCTCAAGTTCCTCTTGTTACAACGAATGCTCAAAATCCTTCTACTATTCAAATTCCTTCATCTCCAATTCTATTTGGTTCCTTGAATGCTGTAAATCCTCTGAAGCCTACTAAAAGAGTTGTGTTTAATAAAGGGGAACCTGGTATGTATTGGTCCCCTGTTGAAACTATGGAGCTTTCCAAAGGTTTTAATCAGACTCTTATTGGCAAATGTGCCTATGGTAGACCCTCATTGGGTGTGGTAAAAGAGTTTATTAATTCTAGATGGTTATTGAAGGGGGAATTTTCTGTAGGAGTGCTTGATCCGAGGCATGTACTGATTAGATTTTCTTTGTATGAGGATTATGTGAAAGTATGGCTAAAAGATAATACATACATTGAGGGTTACCTCTTTCGTTTCTTCAAATGGTTTCCAGAATTCTATCCTGGGATTGAGCCTCCTGTTGTACTAGTATGGATATCTTTGCCAGGTCTTCCAATACATCTGTTTAATAGAGAGAGTCTGAGGGACATATTGAGTCCAGTTGGTAGAATTTTGGTGATAGACAATGCTACTCTAAATCTCTCTAGGCCTGGTGTAGCCAGGGCTTGTGTGGAAATGAATCTTCTGGCTAGTAATCCTAGGAGATTCTGGTTAGACATGGGGGGAGTGAGTGGTCGTTGGCAGAGGATAGTATATGAAAAGGAGTATAAATATTGTCCTGCTTGTCTTAAGCAAGGGCATGATGAAATATTGTGCAGAAGAAAGAAGAAAGTGGAAGGTGATGCCTCTGAGAATAAACAGACAACTGAACATGTTCTTAACAAGGATGAGGAATGGAGGAAAAAGAAAGGAAAAGCTATTGTTATAGATGGACTGAGTGTGCATCCCAGAAAGGAATATAGACAGAAATCCATGAATCAAAATACTGCTGTGGAGAATAGCTTTGCTGTACTGAATGAGGAGGTTGGCATGGAGGAAATGGATAATGGCAGGAATTTACCTGTACATTTACCTGAAAGTTTACCTGGAAAGGTTATTGAAAATGGCTTAGCTTCTGTTATTATGGTGAATATTGATAATGCTGCAAATTCAAATAATACAACTGTTGATGTTGAGGTGGGAAATGCAAGGGTGATTGGAATGGAGGACATGGAAAATGGTAGGAATATGGCTGTATTGGGGCAGACATTCAGTGCTGATAAGAATACTGATATTGGAGCATCTGCTGCTGATAAACTGATTACTGATCCAGTTCCACAGGAGATGATCAATGTGTGTAATATAGCAAATGCTGCTTTGATTAATGATGTTGTGGGAGTTGAGGTTGGGTCTCTTGATATTTCCCCAATGGTTGTGGATTGTGGAACTCAAGAGGGTGATGGTACTGATAATGTTGACATCAGTTTGGAACCTCCTATTCTGCCAGATCATGAAGGTACTAACTTGGTGATTTCTTACTCTTCATCTCCTATCTTTTTGCCTGCTGCTAATGAGGTGGTTATTGTGGGAGATATTGAAGGAAACAAGGGTAAATCAGGGGGAAATCTAGTTCCTCTTAATCAGGGTATGGCTGATATCAACCTAATGGAAGCTCTTGGAGAGTGTAAAACTCTTTATGCTCAATCCTTGGGTTCTTCCTTTTTAGTTGAACATGGAATGACAGTTAGAAGAGGGAGCCAGAAGTCTTTAGATGATCAGAATGGTTTGGTTAGAGTAAGAGAACCTCCAGATAAAGGTTACTACTCTGATCAGGCCAGTTCTAGAACTCAGAAGGTGGTAAATGTTGATTCTGATAATTCTGGTAGTTCTTTGGATGGAAATGAGGATGATAATGGATTTAGTTCCAGTGATGTCCATTCTTCTATGAATTTATGATTAATTTTCTATCATGGAATATGAGAGGGGCAGGTAAAGATGCTAAGAGGAGGAGATTAAAGAAACTCATTAAATTGCATGATGTTTCTCTTGTTGCAATTCAAGAGCCTAAACTGTTGGTGTCCAAACTGGTTCCTTTTGCTAGGAGCATTGGACTAGAGCATTTCTGCTCTAATGCTTTAGCAGAAAGGAATATTTGGGTATTATGGGATGAGAGAATCAAATTGAAGGTAATGTTTGAGCATGGCCAAGTATTGACTGTGGAAATTACATTTAAGAATTCACTGGTTTTTTGGGTCTCCATTGTATATGCTAGCTGTGACCTTTTAATGAGAAGGCTTTTATGGGAACACCTGTTGGATATTGATGTCCCTTCTGATGTCCCTTGGATGGTTGTGGGTGATTTTAATACAATTTTATCCTCTGCTGAAAGACTGGGAGGAGCCTCTCCTTCTCTTTTATCTATGGAGGAATTTGGTGACTTTTTGGATCACAGGGGTCTATTGGATGCTGGATTTACTGGGAATAAATTTACCTGGTGTGATAATAGAAATGGGGGTTTCAGAATGAAACAGAGGCTGGATAGAGCTCTGATTAATCCTTGCTGGAATCTGAGATTTGAAAGTCTGGAAGTGGCTCACTTAGCAAGAGGTAACTCTGATCATAGCCCTTTATTGTTGAAAATTATGGATACTTCTGTCTAGAAGAGAATTTCCTATTTTAAATTTCAAGATATGTGGTGTGATCATGAGAATTTTCTGGCTCTGATAGCTTCTAACTGGAATGGTCATTATTCAGATAATCCAATGGCCAATTTTTTCATTAAGATGAAATATCTAAAGGCTCACATGAAAATTTGGAATAAAGATGTGTTTGGAAATCTTTTTGAGAAACTGAAAATCTTTGAACAAAAAATTAGTCTGATTGAGCAGGAGTTAGATCAAAACTTCTCTAATTCAAAAAACATTGAATTAGAGGATGCTAAAGGTGAGATGGATGATTGGTTAAGGAGAGAGGAAATTTATTGGAAGCAAAAGTCAAATGTTAGATGGGCTATTCAGGGGGAGAGGAATACCAGATTTTATCACTCTATTGCAAAAAGCAGAATTGTCAGAAATGAGATTTCTAGAATCAAAAATAAAGATGGAGTCTGGGTGTATGGGGATAAACAAGTAGCTATGGTTGCTGAGGAGTTTTATGCTGATCTATATAAATCTGAGAGGCATATCATCATTGATGACATCTTTGATGTTATACCTAAGAATGTTAGTCAGGAGGATAATGAGAAATTGACTGCTGAAGCCACTTTAGAGGAATTGAAAGAGGTTGTTTTTTCAATGGCAATAGAAAGTGCTCCAGGGCCGGATGGTATGTCTGGTAAGTTTTATCAGTTTGCCTGGGATGTTATTAAAGTAGATTTGGGGGAAGCTATTAATTTTCTGCTTAAAGGAGGTATCATGCCAAAATCTGTAAATTCTACTTTATTAGTATTGATTCCCAAGAAAGAGGATCCATCTTCATTTTCTGACTTCAGGCCCATAAGTTTATGCAATTTCTTATACAAGATCTTTACAAAACTTCTGAACACAAGACTGTCCTCATTACTTCCTACTTTAATTTCTGAAGAGCAACATGGCTTTGTCAAAGGGAGAGGAATTGGGGATTGTGTGGCTTTGGGGCAGATGCTTGTGGGTGAGTTAGATAGAAAGGTTGAATTTGGAAATATGGTTATGAAATTGGATATGATGAAAGCATATGATAGAATGGAATGGGACTTCTTGGGAAAGGTTCTGTCTGCTTTTGGTTTTTCTGACTTGTTCAATCAAATCATTTTGAACTGTTTGAAGAGCCAGTTCTTTACTATATGTTTAAATGGCCAAAGATATGGTTACTTTGCTAATTCAAGGGGTTTAAGGCAGGGAGACCCTCTCTCTCCTTCATTGTTTATCTTGGCTGAAGAGGTGCTAAGTAGAGGACTGAGGAACATTTATACTCAGAATTTGGTAAAACACTTTCATATTGGAAGAGGAACAATTCTTGTTAGCCATTTGTTATTTGCTGATGATACTCTGATTTTTCTGAGGGGAAACAAAAGTTCTGTGCTGAATGTGTTGAAATTTATTTCTATATATGAAGCATGCTCTGGTCAGAAGGTTAATAAGCTGAAAAGTGCTATGTACTGCTCTAAGCAGATATCTTCTGCTAGAAGGAATAGGCTGACTTCTGTGGTGGGAATTCCACTTAAGGACTGTCCTTTTACTTATTTGGGATGTCCTATAATAAGAGGAAGGATAAAGAAATGTTATTTTGAGGAGGTAATTAAAAGCTTCAGGAAAAGAATTGAGGGGTGGTATGCCAGATTACTCTCAGGTATGGGGAGAATTGTACTGATACAATCAGTACTCAGTTCTATTCCTATCCACATTTTGGCCTGTCTGAATATCCCAAAAGGAATCCTAAATAAGTTGAATTCTTTAATTGCTAATTTCATTTGGTCTAGTCAGATTGCATCCAAAAGGAGGCATTGGGTCTCTTTGAATGATATCTCTAAGCCTAGAACTGAAGGTGGGCTAGGAATTAGAAG